GCATTATTTTAAACGTTATAATATGTGAGAATATGTAAAAGTAACAATTGACTGGCTATGAAAACAGTATGCATAAAACCTCATTCTGAGGATTACCAAAAGCACCACCATTGTTGATAAGTACTCTCTTTTTTCGATTGGCTTCGTTATGAAAAAAACAACATGATTTTAATTAATTTCAGTTGAAACAGAAACGTGCCCACAGTAATAAAAATGTGGGATTGGCTGTTGTTTTTAAAGCCCGTAAAAATGCGACAAGTGTTTCTTGATTAACAGACTCCAAATTATTTGAAGACTTTCATTGTTCTTAATCAGTATTACTTGATTGCATTCAAGAACTCACTTTGAAAACATCAGTGAAAGTGTGAGCCCGTTAGATGGTAAAGAAACAATCTTAACGAAATCAATCAAAACAAAGCACAAATTCCATTCAAGTGAGGAGGGTCTTTCAACTGGTTGGAATTGTCCTTTGTCACTTTATCATTTCAAGTGAATTTCTTTGGATTGACTTTTATTTGGATGCCATATTTGGCATCCCTGCTGACAGCATATCCTTGGACAATGTCTCCAGCCAGCACATGTACATGTAAGCTGAACAAGTACGCTTCCTGGGAATAGGTAGACTCCTGCAAGAAATCAAAGAAAAGGTTATAATGGACCCTTCCTGCATGTCCAATCAACAGTGCACATTGGCCAATCAGATCACCACTTTTGATCAGGTGACCACAGTAGCTCAGTCACAAGCACTGTTAGATCTATTGCTCACCCCGCCCCCATTTTTTGCACCAGCAGTTAACACACACCCCCCCCCCCCCCCCAAGTATTCTGTAAAGAGTGCCCTTTTTACACAAGTACTTTTTTAGTTTTTACACAAGTGTCCTTAGTTTTGTTTAAAAGTTTCTTGTTTCGCCAGCGGCTTTAAAGAATTTTTTGGTATTTCGTGTAAAACGTCAACAATTGAGCCGCCATGAAAAGCGCCACCCATTGACCTACCGCCATTTGCGAGTTAACCACGCCCCTTAGACAACTCTATAAGCCTTTTCGCTGATACCACCATCTTTGAATTATTGTTTTCGGGGGGGGGGAGGTGGGGGGGGATTACAATGAAATACGTCTCATCATGCAACTGTAGCTGAGAATGATGGGATGTCCTTTTCATTGTAATGCCCCCCCCCCCCCCCCCAATTCCAAAGATGGCGGTATCCGCGAACGGCTCATGTACGTTAATTTTTGTTTGTCTCAGATTTTGCGTTCTGCGTCCATTTGTATATCATGTTTAGACAATATTTCACAAGCTGCGTTGACGCAGTTCCACCGTGATAGGTTAATTGTCCGATAGTGGCCATTATCGCCGGTTTGAAAAGCACCCCATAGGAAGATGGTACCCAGCCCCGTCCCCCTACGCCCTGCTTTTGGATTTTACGGAGGAGGCCGGGTACTAGTGCAAAAAAACCTATCTACATGTTCCTTCAGCACGAATTGGCGAGTGCCCTTTTCATGTCTAAATGACCCCCCCCCCCCCATAAAAAAACAACTTGGCTTCAAATCGTGCAATCTCTATAGACATTAAAAGTAATTTTCACATAAATACAGCTCTCAAATGGCAAGCATGTGGTTAAACAGTGGTGGATCTACATGTATAGGCGGTCACCTCCTCCCCCCCCCCCCCCCACCCCCCCGGCGCAAATAATCTAAACATTTCCAGATCTCCCCCCCCCCCCCCCAACTTGACATCGCACCCCCAGCCAAAGTTAGATCCACCCCTGTTTAGGATTTCACGCTAGTTTCTGCAATAGTGATAAGGTTTGCGTAATTGTGAAGTAAGTGCCCTTAGATTAGCCACTCATTATTTTCATGGGAATTGCCAACACTACAACAGACATTTTTGCATGACACTTAGAAATTACGGCTTTTGCAAAAGTGTATACAATCAGTTACAGGGGGTAACTTCTGTGCTTACAGGGATAGCGCAGGATTTCTGTGCTAGTGTGCTAGATCATCAGCACAGAATTGTGTGCTTAAACCATGAAATTGAGTCTTTGAGTTAGTAGTGGCTTTGTGTACTTACATGACAATGAGCTGAGCCTCCTGGGAATATTGGAGAAGCAATTCACGGATCCGCATCTGTCTGTTGGTCTGAAAGAAAAAGAAAGATTTCAGGCGAAAAAATGGATTGATTTATTGTGATTTTTAATAAAGTCATAAGTTCCATGCACTTGGCAAATCAAATGAACTGAGAGTTGTACGGAAAAATGGATTGAAAGTGATCAATCTCATTATTGAAAATCACCCACCAGAATGTCAAAGGTTGGACACAATTAACAGATGTTGCAAGACTGGACTTAAAATCACAAAAACCAG